TATTTGTGACATTTTTGGACAACACTGCAGACTTTCATTAGGAAAAGGCAGTTTCTGAGAGGAATGTTTGAAAAACATCTGCTAAATATCATTTAAAGTTATTCCTGATGGGTGCACATGTGTTTTTTCAAATTTAGCAGATATTCTTTGAACGTTCTTTTATAGAATACAAACATTCCTTCTTATGAACTGCTTTTTTTCTGACAAAAGTCTGCAGCATTGACCAAAAACATTAGTCCAGAACAGAATATACGGTATTTCTAAAACTAGTCCATAAGTAGTTTTTGGTTTAATTAATAGAGATTTTCATATTTTTATTCAGACCAACTTCAGTTCAGTATATAACTTTAACACACAGTGTTCCCAAAGATTTTGAAATTTATGTGTATCTTGCATTCATTTCAAACGGTATCGTGCTGTCAGCTGATTTGGTCCATGTAAATGTCCAAAAACATTTCTCCATTAAATAAACTTTGTTTTCCTTAAATAGTTGCATTTTATTCTTATAATGTATTTCTACTTTTTAAATGCTTTGCTTCTGTGTATACATTTTTTTTACGTCATTAATATATCAGTAAAAGAATAAGAATATATATGCATATTTTGTAGTATAACAACATTAAATTATCTGAATTTAATGATATATAATGTTAAAATCTGTCCTTAAAAATATAATTTGGCTGAGAAAAAACCGCCAACATACTCATTTGCATTTAAAAATTTTTAAGTGTAATGCCATTATGAAATAATTTTTCCCCGAGATTTCTTAATTTCATTTTCAATGAAATTTAAAATAAAAATATTTGGAAAAAAAAATTTTTTTTTATGAAGTACTTTGTAAAATTAGTTTCTTTAATCAAATTATATTTTGTAAGTAGGAAAGTTTTTTTTATTAATAAAGCATTTTTAAAGCCTTTGATATTAAGTGAATAGAACTAAAAAAATTAATTTACATATTAGTTACAAGTAATTTGATTTAGTTTTTAGCATTAATTACTGAATTTGGCAAAATTTTTCTGTACTGTACTGTACATTACAAAGTGTTTGTCACATGATGAGCACATACACAAACACATGATTATTTGCTGAACATTGGTTTATTGTGGGAATTGTTTAAGATTTAGCACAATATACCGACAAGAAGTGGAAACAGCAAGTAATGAATAGTCATCCACACTACTCCGTATTAGCCAAATGTTTGCTTGGCATTCGGCAAATACCAGATGCCTGGAGCCGTCTTCAGACATCTTTTTTCTGTTTAGGGATCTGTAGAATTCTGAAGATTCTTTGCATTAAATTTATTCAGTTTCATTGTTTATAACAGTAAAATTTTAAAAGTATATGGGCAAAAATATTTTGCTAATCAAAAGATCTTTCCTTTTACAAGTTGTACAAAGCAGCAAATATTTGAAATTTATGATGCATACAATAAAAACACAAGCATAAAAGATATATAAAAATAGATTTTGCATACATAAAACATTTATCAAAAAATTTATTAGATATTTAAAAACTTAAAACTACTCTAAATGCTTTTAAATATAGAAATTCTGTTCTATTTTATAGTTTTTATCTCTGTTTTTATGTCATTTCTTTTGTATTTTGTTTACAGTTGTATGATAATTGATAACACAAAGAAATTAANAATATAATTTGGCTGAGAAAAAACCGCCAACATACTCATTTGCATTTAAAAATTTTTAAGTGTAATGCCATTATGAAATAATTTTTCCCCGAGATTTCTTAATTTCATTTTCAATGAAATTTAAAATAAAAATATTTGGAAAAAAAAATTTTTTTTTATGAAGTACTTTGTAAAATTAGTTTCTTTAATCAAATTATATTTTGTAAGTAGGAAAGTTTTTTTTATTAATAAAGCATTTTTAAAGCCTTTGATATTAAGTGAATAGAACTAAAAAAATTAATTTACATATTAGTTACAAGTAATTTGATTTAGTTTTTAGCATTAATTACTGAATTTGGCAAAATTTTTCTGTACTGTACTGTACATTACAAAGTGTTTGTCACATGATGAGCACATACACAAACACATGATTATTTGCTGAACATTGGTTTATTGTGGGAATTGTTTAAGATTTAGCACAATATACCGACAAGAAGTGGAAACAGCAAGTAATGAATAGTCATCCACACTACTCCGTATTAGCCAAATGTTTGCTTGGCATTCGGCAAATACCAGATGCCTGGAGCCGTCTTCAGACATCTTTTTTCTGTTTAGGGATCTGTAGAATTCTGAAGATTCTTTGCATTAAATTTATTCAGTTTCATTGTTTATAACAGTAAAATTTTAAAAGTATATGGGCAAAAATATTTTGCTAATCAAAAGATCTTTCCTTTTACAAGTTGTACAAAGCAGCAAATATTTGAAATTTATGATGCATACAATAAAAACACAAGCATAAAAGATATATAAAAATAGATTTTGCATACATAAAACATTTATCAAAAAATTTATTAGATATTTAAAAACTTAAAACTACTCTAAATGCTTTTAAATATAGAAATTCTGTTCTATTTTATAGTTTTTATCTCTGTTTTTATGTCATTTCTTTTGTATTTTGTTTACAGTTGTATGATAATTGATAACACAAAGAAATTAAGACTTATTTTTAAAATTTAAATGTGAAATTAGTACCTTACATTGAAAGTTTTGAATGAAATTTGTGCACAGATGCTTCGTTGAAATATAAAAACAGTAAATTTTTTGTTTAAATTTCATCCTAAACTTAATAATTTCACAAACTAGAAGAAGAATTTTTTTATCGTCTATGATTAATTTCTAGATTTTATTATTAAAACAGATTTATCAAATGAATAAAATCAAGATTAATTAATTTAGGAAAAAAAGTTTTAAAGTTCCTAGCATTTAACATTCTCCAGAATAAATTAATGTCTATCTGAAGCATTGAAACAAAAGTAATGAATTAAAAAGAAAAGTGCATTAATTTAAAATAATAAGTAAAAGAAAAATGATAAATACAAAGAGTAAATATACAAAAATTAATTAGGAAAAACTGTTGTTGGCTAATGAATCGAATTTCAGATGACAAAATTAAATTGAATCATTTCATATCCTTCACTGATTTCATTTTCATTTCGATAATTGATTAACTTAGACGCAACAAGCCGAAATTGTCCCGCAATTAATATTTATCGGATATTGTTTATCTAACTCGATAATCATTTTCGTTCATGTAGGTCGTTTCGAAATGTAAGGTAGCAAGGAGAAAACTGGGTATGCTTCATTAAGTTAAAAGTGGGTTGATGACCTAAAGGAGGAATGGACATACATCAGTGAAAATAGCACATTGGGAAGTGGCAGAAAAACCAATAAACTAGTTACAAAATTAATTCATTTTATAAATAGATAAATTTACAACGGTAATTTACTGATCCATATTACATTGTTTCACGAACAATATAATTTTATGTGAATTTCTTTGGGGGGGGAAAGGACAATGTTTATAATATTGTCCGAAGTGTAAGTGTAACAAATTTCATCTTACTCTCAATTATATTTATAAAGAATTGTCCTGTTCAATTAAAAAATATTTAATTTAATATTTGATATTTTTTTATTTAATGAGATTATATTAAAAAATATACGAATAAATAATTGCTCAAAAGCTGAAGATTTTCATTCTTTCCATAACTAATTATTCCTGCTAGCATTTTAGTTATAAACAATTTTATAGATTCCTCATCGCAAAAAAAAATCTGTAAACTGGGTGGGGCATTTTCATTGATTTTCGTACATGTCTGTCTTGGATTTCTGAATGTTTAGTAGTAACATTAAATTCATACCAACTAACAGTTGCATATTTATTAGCCGTCGCAAAAGAATAAATTTTTTAAAAAATTTTAAATTGTTAAATTTGATATTAAAATTTAATTAGGTTTAAATATAAACATTTTATTCTTTACTAAATTCATTTAGAAATAAAAATATTTGTGGACGAAATAAAATTCTTTCCACTGCGATAACCATTTTTAATTGACGTTAAGTAATTTTATACAAGACTTGTTTGTTTTGTTGTTTTCCCAATGCTTACAACATGCTGTTATGGCAGTGTTACCTGATATTGTTATTTTGAAAAATACAAATTATGAAACTTGATAGGAAAAATCTGAAACGATTCGATGCCATTTATTCTAGAATAAATTTAAATTTTACTTTAAGTACTGCATTAATCTTTAATCAATTTAGACTACTTAAATATTTATAAGGAACATCCTTATTGTATTCATTACTTACCATCTCTTGCTTTTAAATACATATTTTAGATAACATTTTATAGCTATTAAAGAATTTCCATTCTTTAAATTTAATTTTTACTGGTTCTCCCCCATTAACCCGTCGGTTGAATGATACTAATCAAAACATCGATAAATTTGTTATAGTAAATTTCTAAGATTTTACAAATGAAGATTTCTGAATCTTATAACAGCATGCTTCAGTAGAAGATTAATTAATAATTAACAAAGATTTTATTGTTATAAACTCTCCAAATTAAAGTATATGTTGTTAAATCATATAATTTATAAAATAGATTCATTAATTACAAATAACTTGCCCTTTTATATTTTCACAGGTGATCTAACCACAGCCAAATGACCTTTCAGATTATCTGGCTAATTTTAATTATTTTAAGAGGTGGTAGCCAGTTAGGCTGCCTACATATCTTAAATTCAAACTACTGTGTATTTAATTATTAAAATTAGCCTTAAAATAGCCCTTAATCCTGTTGATCTAGTCAGTATAGTTACTTAGCTTAATTAATGCACGTTGAATAATGGCTAATGTTTTCGGCCCGGTTAACCGGGCCGAAAACATTAGCCATTATTCAACGTGCATTAATTACATTATATATTTTCTAGTAAGTTGATTTAGTTAAATATGTGTAATATATAAATTATATTTTTAGTGATTATAATAATGGAAATGAAGCTATAATACATACATAATTATTTCTCAATAGTAATGGAAATAATGTGGAAGGAGCTACTCATAAACAAGTAGTTGATTTAATCAAATCGGGAGGTGATAGATTGACATTAACTGTAATATCAGTGACTGCTCAGGTATGTTGTTGAACTTTTGTACTTTGATAGATTAAAAACTTTTTTAAAAGCAATAATATCTTGTCTGCCGTGAACAACATTCTCTATCAAATGCATTATTTTAAGTTTTTGCATGTTTTTTAAAACTATTGTTGCTTGAATGAATAACACGAGAAATAAAATAATTGACGTTAGTCAGGAAGTACTGATTATGGTTAATTGGACACAGGAAGCAGAGAGGTTAGAGCCCAGTGATGACTCTTCAGGCTATTCCTATATCGATTATAGTGAGAAACGTTCTTTACCTATTTCTATCCCCGATTATAATTGGATGGAAAAAAATGGGGAGAAATTTGTTGTAAGTTTTCATTTATCTATTTTCTCAAAATTATGATTTTAGTAAATACTTAAATTATGCTGCTACTTTTATATTACCAGGTGTATAATATTTATATGGCTGGAAGACATTTGTGTTCGAGGCGATATCGAGAGTTTTCTACACTCCACGTCAATCTCAAAAAAGAATTTCCAGATTTTAACTTTCCTAAACTCCCTGGGAAATGGCCATTTTCTTTATCAGATCAGCAGCTAGATGCTAGAAGAAGAGGTCTTGAACAATATTTAGAGAAAGGTGTGCATTTATAATTTTATCTGTTTATAAATTATTAATTTCATTACAACAAATGACTTTAACTATCTTACATTTTTTTAATGTATTGTAATTATAATTATGTATAAACATATTGAATAAATATACATAAAAACAAACATGAACATTTTACACATGTCAATATTATTTTTCATAATCTTAATCATAACCATCCATAAATTATAAAAAGCCATACAAAATTTGTAAAGAATATTCTTATCTTATATACAACACAAATGTCTTCAGCTTTTTTCAGATCTTCATTAATAAATAAATTTTAAAATGTTTAACATATTTTTATTCCAAATTAATTAGGCGTTCATTTGTCTAATTTTTAATAAAAATTTAAGTTTATGAATTATATAAAATGTGTCTGAAATTTTGTATTTTTCTTATAAACTTTGTATTTACACTTCAAAAATAATATCAAAATGAATTACTTAATTCACATAAATATTTTTTTAGTATAACATTTCAAGTAGCAAAATAAACATATAGTTATATGTTGGATATGAAAATATTTTATTTATTTTCAGTTGTAATTCTTCATGTTTGTTCACATTTTGTTTATCTATAAGCTTTAATATATCATTTATTAATAATTGGTAGAGCCATTTCTAGAAAACAAAAATATATATGGATGAGAAGATATTTGTTGATTCTTTTCCCCTCCACAAATCATGATTTATATTTGAAATTTTTCAATTACCAACTTGTATTTTAATGTTAATGTTTTTAGTTGAAAAGTTAGCTCACTTTTCAACTAAAAACAAACAGAAGCATTCATTATTAGATAAAAGAAATTTGATATCTGGAATAAGTTTTGAATAAACATAAATAATGCTTTAGGGATATTTGACATCGGCATTCTTTTTACTATTTGTAGTTTCATGTGTTGTAAACAATATAAATTATTAACCTGCATTTATAATTTGAAAATACTTAAGGTTAGCATTATTTTTATAACTTGTTTTATAAACATTTGATTAGTTTGTTTTGATTTTCAGAGAGAATAAATTGATTATTTCACTAAAATTAACTGTTATTCCCTCATAAGCATACATTAATATGAAATTAAAATAAGGGAAAGAAATTTTTCAATTTTTGGAAAGCCATAAAAGTGATTTCAATGAAAAGTCTCTCTCATTATGAATATTCCTATTTTTGAAATAAACTGCTTTTATTTCAAATCATGGTGCACATTTCTAATTGAGCTTGTGAATGAGCCACATTGAAATATAATTATAATTTTGGTTTAAAACATTTTCTCAAATAAATGATTGAAATTTGTAATTTATTGTAATTATAATGCTATAAGAATATTGTTAGTATATAAAATTAATTTTATATGCATATAATGGAAATTACAATAAAATTTATACCTACTAAATACAACTTAAATATCAATAACAAAAAATTTAATATAGCTAATATTTCAATTGTTCACTACATTATATACACAGAATACATTTGAAAAGTACTATTTTATTTATCAGCTTATATTCTGATACACTATCATTATTTATCCTTTTACTGATAATTTCTATAATTAAATTTAACTGATAGCTGTAAATTGAAAATTGTGATTACAAAGATATTTGAAAGAATTATGATTTTTTTACATTTAATGTACTAACACATTTAAAGTTATGATAAATGCATTGATTTGTATTGTATGATTTAAACAGTTGTAAATATATTTTTTCCTTATCCACAAAAAAAAAAAAAACATAAAAAGACATTAGTTGGTAAGTATAAATACTTTCCAACTAATGTCTTGATATTCTCAATAAATTATTTTGATATTTTAAAATGGTTTATAATTCTGTTAACAAAGAAATAACACAAATTGTATTAGTTTACTCAATAGAATTTATAATAGTTCTAAAGATCTAGATGGAACATTGGTTTACATGCAAGGAATATTGATTATTTGCTTATTGTTTCATCTATATATTGTCTTGTCTTTCAATTTATTAATTTGATTAGCTTGAACCTATTTCAATGTGTAAATTTATAAGAAAATAATGAATTTATTTTAAAATAATTTAATGTAATTGTGTTTCATTTGTATAAAATTATATTAAATTTTTCTATTGATATTATAGTTTGCACATGACATATTTTACATCTTAAAAACATCCATTATAACTTTGTGTAATGAACCAGTATAAGCATAAGAAAAATTTTACATGAGACGTTTATTTTGTAGAATTGTAGAACTAATTTTATTTGATCCTTTATTGATGTCAATGTATTGCCATCATTATGCACATTTAACATAAAAACATGCTTGGTGTTTGTAGGCCATATTGGTTTTGGTACATGTTTGCATCTTGCTTTTAGTTATCATCTGTTAATTATTTAATTGTTAATGCGCAATGACATAATCTTTGATATCTCCAGGAGAAAACGAAGTGAAAGCTTCAATGGCTTCCACATTTTTTATATTTTTCAATGCATTTGGCTTGGATGCATAAATACTATCTAACAATGTGTGTTTATAATTATAACATTCAGTAAATATAACATAAACTACATTATGTGCAAATCCTGTATTATTTTCAGTTTTGCTATAAATAATATCTTAAATTTTATTTTCTCATTTATGATACAAGATACTTTGAAAACATTAAAATTTTTAAATAATTGAATTATTAAATTTTGATTGGCTTACATGTATAACAAGCATCATAATAAATTTAATGTCACTTAACATCAAACGATTTTGATTTGAGATGTATAATAATAAATTTTTAATATTTTTTTTCTATTAGTTTGCGCTGTTAGAGTTATAGCCGAAAATGATATCATGCAAGAATTTCTTACAGATTTAGATGATGAAAATGTAAGAATTTTTAAATGATTTATTAAATATTTTTCTTGTTTTCATAACAGTAAGATATAATTTTCATATTAATAATAAAATATTTTAACAGAACTGTGTTTTAATATTACATGACTTCTTTAATTAATTCTTCATTGTGTTAGGTTGTGTTAGATACATTTTATTCATAAGAACATTAGAGGGTGCATGTGTCTTAAAACAAAAATGAACGAACATTATTTTTGTAAATAAATATAGATAATTGAACATTTTCAAATTAACAAAAGAAAAGCTACAATTTGTTAGTTAAAAATATTGTAAATATGTTTAATTTAAATTTTTAAATAAATTTTCTGTTGGAAATGTAGGAATGGAGATTTTTATGAAACTATTTTAAAATATATTTTAATTTGTCATCAGTTTTTTCTGGAAATATTATAATTATTGCTGACATTCCAATACATGCATTAATGTACACTGAAGCTCAATACAAAATACCTGTTATAAAATATAATTGTGTGAATGTGTGTGTATATAATACTCAAATTTCCATTTAAATTGCCTCCATAAAGAATGATTTGAAATGCATTCCTCCTATATTTTATTCTGATTTTAAATTCACTCTTTTAATACTACTTATTCTACTGATGACATGTCAATATACTTTGCATTGTATAATTCAGTATTTCTAACTACAGTTTTAACATTATAATAGGGCGGTAGCTCTGCTGCTGTTGATTTAAAAGTACTTCTGCCTGACAGAACGACTGTTGTCGTTAATGTTCGCAAAAATAGCTCAACAGAAGAAGTATATCAAGTAAGAAACTATTTAATTTCTTACATTCTCAATTTTATTTCTCAAACAAATTAATTTAAAAACATTATTTTTTTTTTTTTATTAGGCTGTAGTTGAAAAAATAGGAATGTCCAAAGATATCTTACAGTATTTTGCTCTGTTTGAAATTGTAGAATATGGATTTGGTATTAAATTATTTTCGTCAGATATTCTCTTTTTAATGAATGTAGAAATATTTTAACTTGAAACAATTCTCATTTTTTAACAGAAAGAAAACTTCAGCCAAATGAGTTTCCTCATAATTTATATATACAGAATTATAGTACAGCTACATCTACTTGTCTATTGATTCGTAAATGGTTGTTTACTCTAGAACGTGAAATCGAACTTAGTGATGATAATATGGCTGCAACTTTTTTCTTCTGGCAGGTCAGGGGAATTATTATAATTAATTGAAATTAATCTAGGCATTATTTTATGTGTCATTTTTAATTAATTTAGGCAATTGACGATGTTAATAAAGGCCAAGTTAAACCTGGTAGTAAATTATATGAACTTAAAGCTCTTCAGGATTCCTCAAGGAAATCTGAGGTAATTAATTAATTTTCAATTTTTTTATAACATTTTTTAATAAAACTAATGTTAAATAAAAGAATTTTTGTAGTATCTTAGTTTAGTTAGGCTATTAGAAGGCTATGGTGAAATATCATTTCCTCATTGTGCATGTGATGCAAGAAAAGAAGGTCATGTAGTTGCAACTGTAGGATTAACTAATTTTAAACTTCAGGCATGTAAAGATGATGGTACAATGGAGGTAATTCTTAAATAATATTATTTATTAGTAATTTTTTGTATGAATTTTTCTATAATTTAAACTATTTTTCAGTCACAAGTGATTGAATTTGCTTGGGATAGCATAAAAGAATGGGAATTAGATGATGAAGGCATGTCCTTTACCTTCCAATATTGTCGTCCAGAAAAGAAACCACGCTGGGTGAAAATTCACACACCATATGTAAGTATTTTCATTAACAAAAAAAATTTATGGTTTACTCAGAATTAGTGAAGTTAATAATGTATTTTACATGCACTTAGATGTTTAAGATTTCAGTTTTTTTTGCTATAATTTCTATAATCATATATTAACAAAAATGAGTAATTAATTAACGTTAAATTTTAATTCTTAATAGTTAATTTTTGGCAATTATGGAATTTTACTACAAAGCATGCCTACTTCACTTATTAGTTATCAAATTTTTCTGCTTACAATGACATGATATAGAAAAAACAAATAGCTACAACTTTTGTTTCTTAGATTATTATTTTTGTAGAATTACAAATTGAAAAATCTGAAATTAATGTAAATATGTTTATAATGTTGTTATTAAATATAATGTATATTATGTTTAAATATATTAAATATTTAAACATTGTTAATTTATAAATCTTTCTAGTAATTGTACTTTCAATTATTTTGAATGCCTTTTAATCACCTTTTTTGTGTTATTATTCTTGCATTTTAACTTATTTAACAAGTTTTAACTTCAGACATGCTCACGTTTTTAATGAATTAAAATTTTTCATTAAAGAATTATTATACGATTATTAAATCAAATTACATTCAAATAACAGAATCTTATCAATATTGATAAAGTTCAGAAACAAATTACATATTTTATATTAAACTATTGATATTATGTAAACAAATAATAAAGTTAACAGTAGAGAGAGGATTTTAAAATGAAAACAAAAATTATAAAATGAATAAAAATGTTATTTTTCATAGTACAGAATGATTATAGTTGGGTGTGAATGAATCTTTATTTGTCGATGGAAAAAGTTGAAGTATGAAAAATTATATTACACTTTATTAGATAAACAAACTTGTACTGTACATCTGATATTGCAAAAACTGTGATTACATAAACAGTTTGTTTTGATGTAATATTTTTATAAATTCATTCAAATTTTTTCTGATTGAGAATTATTTTATAGTATTATAAACAAAAATACATTTTTGTATATTACTTTTTGTTTTAAATTTTGTATATTCGATTTAATGCTAGAGTTTTTATTCTTTTACATTCAAACTTAGTATTTGCTAGTTCATTAACCAAAGAAAGCCAGTTAATTTGGCTGAAAATGATGTTCTATTAAATCACAATATTCATTAAATAAAATACGATGGCATTTAATGAAAAATTTCAAATAAATTATATGTAGTGCATGAATAAATACTCCAAACAATTTATACATTATTTGCATTACTGAGTTTCAGAAGTAAATGCAAAATTACATATCTTTAAGATTTTTATTTATTGCCTTGCATTCATAATTATTTTATCTAATGATGATTAAGTGAAGGTTTATAATTTTGAAATATAAATAAATAAAATTTATTCTAAAGATAGCAGACACTAGATGAATTATTATTAATAAATTTTCAAGTTATACATTTTTTATTTGCTAACACATTTTTAACGTCAGTGTTAAAACAGAGCAACTAATTGTCATATTTACTTCCTCTATATCAGTGGTTCCCAAAGTGGACGATGAGTAAATCTAGGGGAATAAAATGAAGCAAGTGGGTGACAGAGGGGTGTTTGAACAGTGACCATAGGTGACGGTTGCAGTCACTGACAACTATTCCTTTTCTTCTGTTAAAATGGGTAAGATAAAATATTGCGTTTTAATGGTTTCCAGATGTGGAGAACAATGTAATGACACAAAAGTGAGGATCATAGAAAAGTTTTTATAAAAATATTGCCAAGCCTTTCTCACACAAGTGAAAATTTGTTGGTGGTGTTGGGTCTAAGGTTATGGAAACAAGGGGGTGGTGGCTCAAAATAGTTTGAAAATCGCTGCTCTACATAATTTAAACAGCATTATCATCAGTATAAGTGAATACCAAAGTGATTACTATAAGTGGATTCTACTGAAGTCTGAATTTCATCTCCAATTTTAAATGCAAACAATTCTTTTTTTTTTTTTGTTTGTTTTTTTTTATGATGCTAGTAATTTTCTTTTAGAATTTATAGAATTCTTGTATATTATGTAATAATTAAAAGAATATTGTTTCTTTTTCTCCAGTATGTATTTATGTTTGACTGCTTTGAGAGGATACAAGAAGAAAGAAATTGGGTCAAGTCTACTAGTTCAGTTATTTAAAGTCATTCATATGGTTGATGGAAAGGTACAATATGTTAAATTATAATGTATTTAAATACTATTTTTATGCTGCCAGAAGAAAATTTAATTTATCTTTATTTTCTAGGTATTTCAAAATTGAAAATGCTTCGAGAAACTGGTTCATACACTAAAATCTATCCATATCTAACAAATTTTTAATTTTTAGCAAAGTATTCTGATTCAAATAATTTTTCATGTTCTCTTATTCATTTTTGCTTGATTGCAAAGTAGACATTTTTAATTTTACATTTTTGAAAGAATGGTAATTTGAATGCATCAACTCTTCATGCCATTTAACGGACATCCATTTTGATAGTGCAGTTTTTCTCCAGCTGCTAAGCTCTATAATGCCAGCCTGTATAATATTATAAGTGAATTTTCATCATTCAAACAGCTTTCCAAGCGAGCGCATAATTTATTTTGAATAAGAAAACGAATCATTGGTTAATATCATAAGTTTTCCTAAATATGCTCATAGTAGGTAAATATTTACTTGTAATTAAGAATTATTCATGAATGATGAAAAAAAAAATTTTACAAAATGTGGCAATTTTAATCTGCCTTATTTTGTGATTTTTGTATTGTGCGTGTTTAAAATAACAAAGACGTTTATCTGTCGAACATTCCATAATTGACGATAAATTAATTTTCTAATTTTAATTCCCAGTTAGTTCGTTTTTCGAAACAGGAATATTTAGTAAGACGTGCTCAAGTTGGATTTTTCTAAAAAACAAAAAAAAAAGCACACTAAGTTTTTCATTGTCTACTATAAGAGTTTTCAATGTCAAGCATATTTTTATTGATGTCTAGGTCGATTTATACAACCGTACCAAATCCAAATCACCATCCCGCTCCCATAGATTTTGTGTTACATCCAAGAAAGGCAGATCTGTGACAGGGCACTTCATACTAGTCTGCAGTGCCAAAATTCCCCCTCCAAGAAAAGTTTGTTGAGTAATTTATTTTTTTGGGAGTAGAAAAAAAAAACCTGTTGCATATTCTACAAAAACCAGCCTTGTAGAAAATACAAATTCCATTATTTATAGGATGGTGCTGCATATATAGTCTACTCACAAAGGAAATTACTCCAGTTTGAATGCATCATAGCACTAGAAGACAACTTAGGGGCACAATGCAGAAATGGAAATAAAAAAAAAATTATATATATAGAAAAATTGTGTGAATTCCCTCAGGAGAAAAAAAACCCTGTATATTGTATGACATCCTGAGAAAATTGTTTTTGTATATTCCTGTGGAATATGTATATAAATATAAAGAATACCATTCATTCAGATAAATTTGTTGTTGTTGTTTATTGCAGTTGATTGGTTTTATATTCATAAATTGATTTGGATGTTGATGGTATGTTCACATGTACGTGTATATACAGTGGTACCTCAGGATACGAAATTAATTCGTTCCGAAACTGAGATCGTATCATGAAAATGTCGTAAGGTGAATCATTTTTCCCCATACGATTACATGTAAAACCAAAAAATTCGTTCCAACACAAAAAACACACTCAAATTGAAGCTAAGTTGTACATTAAAAAAATAATAAATATAGTAAGGAAAACACTGAAAAATGCATTTTGTATTTGTAAATGTATAAATAACCATAATAGAATAATAATTGATTTAAAAAATGTAGTTTTATTTGAACTTTAACTTTGAGGATAGACGACGGTGGAGGTGTAAACTGGTGGCGGAGGAGAGGGAGAAGGGAAATGATACTAAAACTTAACTTACATAACATAATGTAACAATAACTTAAAAATAACTTAGAAAAGATTAAAAAAATGAGTGTTGTTTTATATATTTTTTTTTAATTTTTATTCACTGCTTTTTGCTTTCTTTCCTTCACTTCCACCAGCACTTTCACTGGATAGAGGTCGCTTGGTAAAATATCTAACCAAAGAGGTTTGGCTTTGCCTACTTTTTAAAATTTTTCTAAAATGACTTAGGCAAATGTCATTACTCTGAGCAGCAATACGGCCAGTGTGAATCTTTTTGGGATGTTTCTTTACAATAAAATCAGCCACTTTCTGATAATACCTCAAGATTTCCTTTATCGAGCGAGATCCTTCCACAACGAAGAAAACGCGCCGACTGAGACCAACGAACAGAAGTGAATAAAAAATGGCACCGCAAACTAATGTAACGTCATATGGTGAGTTTTTGTTCGTATCGTGGAGCAAAAATATGTTCGAATTTCATGTCGTATCCTGAAAATTTCGTATGCTGGGGCGTTCGTATCCTGAGGTACCACTGTATCAAGAATTTCAGCTCGTATCAATAACTTCGTACAGAAAATATATTTTAAAAATATAGCCAACCAGATATAATATTTTTGTCATTCCGAATTACGACTTTGTTCCTCGAACTCATCTATGCTGCTAATCCTGTCGTAGGTTAGGCCCACTCATAACAGACAAAACCAATACTGGGTGTATACTTCACAATGCATTTAATCCTTGCACAAAATTCTTTTCGAAAACATCTCTTGTCAACAATAATAAATACAGATTTATCACATTTTGAATAATTTGTAAAATCTGTTAGTTTAAAACTGTTATCTTCACTTTGAAAAACTTAGATGATCTCTAAATTTGCAAATATCTTCCTCTTCGTCTTCCTAATTTTTGTAATAATTAATATAAATGCTAAAATAGTGTGGTAGAGATTACAGGGCGGTCTGAATTTATTTGTCGTCTACTAACATCTCATTAGTAAGTGGTTAATGAATAAATTAAGATCATCCCGTAATCTCACACACGCTATTATAGTGTTTATATTTATTATTACAGTGAAAGTGGCTTTGTGTTTACTTGCATTTTTGACTTTCGGTTGACAGTAATTTATACTTAAATGATTCTTCATAACTAATATACTACCAGATTTCAGCATAACATTACAGTTCATACACCACGCCAATCTACAATCTTTGCCATGCATCGCTTACATTTAAATGTGGGAGTTAAAATTAACGTAAAAATCAGCAGAAATTTCTACTTTCAGTTTTTGACAGACAATACAAAAAAAAATTATTTTGACCCATTTATGCCTGTTTTTTTAATAAAACTAGTAAAAATACGCATACTGTTAAAGGCCAAATAGAATTATTGCATAATATAATACATATTTCACATCGAGGAACAATTTTTAATTTTTCACCAACCGAATCCAAATAGAATGAGAAAGATCTTTTCAATTTTCAAACAGTTTGCACACATTTCTTGTTTTATTTGGATTTTGCATAATAGGATTTCTACTGTAAATAGTGTGAAAATACATTGTTCTGTTTATATATGCTTAAAACCAAATAAGCTGGACAAAGTAGGAAAGAAGAGATTGATACGCCACCCCATACTGAAAGGTGTATGTCTGTCAGAAAAATTGTTATTCAAATTGAATTCTGTGATGTTCACAGAATTGGTCAATAAGGTGTCCAGCTGCTGCAGAAATTCCTTTTGTCATGTCTGACACACTCCCAAAGAATCTGCATGTTCTTCATTAGAGAGAGATTTTTGCATATTGCCAAGTCTAGAGAATTTAAATCGGGGATAATACACTGCATCTTTGGCTTTTACCAATGCAGACCTGTTAATCCAGGACCGAATACTCGTGGCCAGGTAGACGAAACCACGACACCAGTAGTCGGTTGTTGGTTTGTGCCTGGCCGTGGAATTTTCTGGATTGTCTTCACGTTTGTAACTCCTAAAAGGGCCAGTTTTCCACGAAAGATCTCTCCTCTGCGGATTGCCACTCACATCACGTTGCCACGTACCAATGAAACCAGACCAAACCAAATATTTGTTTCGGCTTGTCAAACTCTTCTGGAGTGCCAAATGTTCTTATAAACACAACTCATTCCTGAATTTTTAACTTTCCTGGCAACAATTTAAAACTGTGTGTGGCGCCATATGTTACTATATGTTATTATTAAAAACTTTTCGCCATTTTACAATAATTAAAAAGATAAAGCTTAATTTTGAGGTTAGGGATGGGTTTTATTTTTAAAAAATTGTAATAACGAGAAAATCTTCGTGAAGTCTATTTTTTGTTTAAATCACTGGTATAAATGTGTGAAGATACCGAATTCGAACCCTGATCCTCTAAAGCGGCAAACTCGTAAACAAATGAAATAATTTGACTTCGTCCAAAAGAATATTAAGACATGACATTATTATTTACATTTTTGTACTTTTAGTCAATTAAAAAATAAAATGTTAACAAAGATAATTATGGTAAAAGCTTAACAGGACAATGGCCGATCGGTTAGGGTGGCAGCCTACCGCTCTAGTGAGCCCGGATGAGTCGAGAAGCACCAGAAATTTTTCGGGGAATGGTCCCTCTGGATATATCGAGCCCCGTCCCTTTGTGGGCCTGGTGAATTCGTACTGGACTCGATAAAAAGGCCGCCTTAGTGCCCATGGGGCGGAAAGAATACACAAAAAATTCTAATATGATAACAGCCGGCAATGATATAAAAGCAATAACCCATAGATTATCGTTTAGACGTCAGCCGATTGCTCTCAAGGTCCGGGTTCGAATTTCTCATAATTTATCGCAAGAAATTTGGATTGGGGGAGTTGTTCTATTTCCTCATCCATGCCGAGTAGATAAAACTACGGAACGCTATTTGCGCCTTACTAGCGGGATGCCTGGTGGAGTTTTTCGGGTTTTCTTCTAGTCACGTGTATTACTTAAATAGCCAGTTTCCTATATAAAAGCTTCGCGAAATGAACATCACCCATTTGTCGCATCGCTTCACCTCATCGATCCGTCCTACTATAATTCTGCCTGTCCCTAAATGGGCAAAATTTCAACCATACCATACAACCCATATCTTGCTTTAAAAAGTTAATCGAGGATGACGATAAAAGTAAAATTCCATGTAATATTAATTTATTTAAACTTCAAATTCTTCAAAATATAAATGACGCAAACACTTTAAAATTAAAATAATAAAATTAATTTTTTTTTTTAAATTACGACGAGAAGCAAACTTTTGACTCCAGAGGGCAGGCAAGTAACCAAGATGGCGGTCGTCCTTAGATGTCACACGGCGGATCGTTTGTTTACGATTATCAAAAAGTTCAAAATCCAACACGCTAGAACACTTATTCACATCAAGAATGACTTATTTTCCAATCGCCAAGTGTATAAATTGATAAGGAGCGGCGGAATGTGTTCGTTAGACAAGGAGAAAATTCGTTGGTGCTCGAAGGATTCAAAAGAGGAGGAAACATCAAAAAATCTAATGGAATTCCCTCCGGTCGTTTGGCCGGGTTTGTTTATGTCCATTAAAAACTGGATTCTGACTAAACTCATTATTCAGCCCTACTTCGAACCAGAATTTGATCAGCCCAGTTTCCTTAAAGGTGCTAAACAGGTGCTAAGTTTTAGGTTAATATCTCCTTCTCAGCTTTAACGGGCCTTTAATACGTGTGATGAGAATAAGTTGTTGTCCAGTAGTCTTGTATGAGAAAAACATAAACAAATCTCTCTTCTTTTGTAAATTACCGAAATGTACGTGGTACGAATAGAGTAATGCCGAGTCATAAAACGGTATTTATGCAAAATAGAACTTGTTCTGTTAATGGTTTGGCCCATTTGGTAGTGTCCAGAGACAGAGGTGTGAATTAAGAAGGGGTGTGGTGTTTCGCCGCAATCAGGTGAAATGTGATGAGCGGTAGGGGAGGTCCTGACAAGATTAGCATTTTGTTTCTGTCCGGTTGGCCTGACGGTTCTGGTTTCGAGTAATCCTCTCAACTGTGGAGTACTCAAAGTTATCTAGTTTGGGCTGGTACAATTGCATCTCCGAACGGTTGGGAATCGGAGCTGTAGACCTTACTCATAGGAGCCAAAATGTCAAAGGAACCATGCCTCTATGTGCGACTCTTGGTGAGATGCTGCTCCCAAAATTGGCCTACTTCTGGGTTGCAAGTGATCGGGAATTGTGTCGGTTTGCTAAGACATTCATTTCATTATTTAGCCCATGCAACTATGCCAGCTTTGAGTAGCCTACGTGACCGTTTGTGGAGTATTTGATATTATATAGTTTTAGGGGGTGTGGGGCTCACCCATGTTAGCAGCACTTGCACCAAAGTGCACAACTATGTGTGTAGAGTGGAGGTCAAGGCAAGCCATAGCGAGTCTTGACTGATGCAAGCATGGAAAACAGGCAGTGTACTGGTTTGTGATAATAACTGACTAGAGACAATTATCTCACAAAGGGTTGCATGTATGGGTATGGTTCCTTTGACTTTATCCCTTGTACAGGAAGGGGTCTATAATTCTGTGGATGGCATATCCCTTATTCAGAGTTTACATCTTATTATGACTTTCCCCCATCCTTCTGCTGAGATGCAAGTGACAGTGAGCACCAAAGCCACAACTACATGTGTAGAGTAGAGGTCAAGGCAAACGACAGTGAGTCTTGACTGATGCAGTGTATGGAGAATAGGCAATAGTACACAAAAGTGTCCTTTCCCACTCTAAATTGCCCCAGAACCACCACCGCTCATCACACTTCACTTAATTACCCCTAAGTAATTAAAAGTATAATAGACACTCTTTCCTTAACTCATATGGAGACACACACACACACACACACACGCGCGATCTTTACCTCTAATAGAGATTATCAGCATCCTAGAATTATTGTAGGCCCTCCATGAGTGAGCAAGCATCACAATTACTATATGGTACAACTTAAAAATTTGGCTCTCTCAACCAGCAGACACATACATAGTTTATTTAGACAGACTCAGCTTTTGAGAGGGTGAGCTGGGAATATTTTAATGTTATTTTACTAACAAAAAATAAAAACTTAAACTGCATTTTACTTACTATATTTTCATAGCATTCCCTAAAGGGTTGATCAAGAAAAAAGTGGCTTTCCTGTGCACAACACCCTGCAAGCTTCAGTCTTCTGAGAAACATCATATGGGCAAGGCTTAGCACACCAGGAACACTTGCCCAAACTTTTACTCTGGGACCTGCTGAAATTATGTATTACATCCATACCTGATAATCTTGCACCATTTCTATCTATCCATACCTATTTTGCTTCTTCCACATTCATGACTCTTCACACACACTTTTTCTCTTTCACTCTTCCACTTGCTCAGCCCATCTTTTCCTTGGTTTTCCACACCCTCTCCTTCCCTCCACATTCCCCAACATACAACTTATTACACACCTCATCTTTCGACATTCTTTCTATGTGGTCAAACGAATGCAGACATCTTTGACACACTTTCTCAATTGCATTCTCTGCATCAACACATCTTCGTTACTCACCAGATCTCTCCTTGTCACACCACACTTCAGATATCTCGTCTCAGCTGCAATCACTGAGCTCTTATGTTTCATTCTCTACACCCATGCTTCACAACCATACAACAGAGTTGGGAGGACCACACTCTTGTACACAGCCATACTTGCCTTCTTCAGAAACATATTCTTACAAACCAGTTGCCCTGTGCACTCAACCACTTTCATACAAGCACTCACTCACCTTCTAATCTCCCTGACTATTCTGCCATTTCTTTCAAAGCTGTTCTAAACTCCCTAACCTAACCTGCTCTATCGTCACACCATTCAGCTATATCTTGCATTCAATCAGCTCATCTCTTTCAAATGCTAAAACTTTTGTTTTCTCTCCACTTATTCTCAATGCCATTTTTACTCAGCTCTCATTCAACTTCAATGTAAGATACTGCAGTTCACTTTGGCGTTCAGCCAGTAGAACAGTAAACTGCATTTTATTAATAAAGAAATATTCTATGTACTTCATTTGTTGAAAAATGGCAAAGGGGATACACTCTACTTGGGTTCCATACATACTTTGTGGCTTTTCCCTGCCTATAATTATATAACTTCATTCAAAGATATATATTTCATCCTTGGATTTTTACATTTTTACAAGAATCTGGTTCCAGAAAGAGTTTTTAATCAATTTACATAATTATAATCAAGGAAGAACCAGTATTAATTGTGTTCCTATGATTAGAAAGGATATAAGAAGACAGCAAATTTTATACGTATTTACTCTTCAGTTTGTATTATATCAATATTTTAAATATATAGGGCATCTGAAAAGTTATTGTGCAGTGAGAAATTTGTCGTGACATTATACATATGATAATGCTTACAAGACATATTTCCCATGTTTTCACTTTGCAGTAAACGGCATTACTGCATGCTCACAGATGTTCCAAGTTTTTGGAAGACTTCTTTGCCGATCTCATAATCTCTCGTGGAATATGGCCCAATATGTCTCCGGACCACACTTCTTCGGATTTTGGGGTCTGTGGGGCACATTTTCATCATTTAGTATAGGAGAAACTGTACTTAAAACTTCACTTTTGTTAAAACCTTACTTAAAATAATTTTTTGGACAAACTATACCGTACATTTCATCCTTGGATTTTTAAATTTTGCCAGTCATGAATCATATTTTAATTACTTTACAATTCTAGCTAATTATCTGCTTTGTACATTTACTTATCATGTCCTGACAAAGACATTAATAGTTAAATTATTTTTAATGTTATTGAATCATTTTCACGAAAGATAATTCTTAATGCCTATTAAGCATCTAATTAAGAATAAATATTGTTTTTAATTTGATTTGCTAAGTTCTAAAGTAAAGTTATTGTTGAATTAAAAAGTTGAAAGTATTTAGATGAAAATTTTAGTAAATTTTAATTAATTGTTGCGTTGGAAAGAAGCATTTTAAGCGGAGAGCTGTTGTAATAATTAGTAACTTTTGAACCACAGATATATAGAGTTTTATATGCAATAATTATAATTTATCACATTTATTAAATTGTTATAAACATAAAATTATTTACTTTAAACATTATTTTGCACTTCACACTTAGTTTTTTTTATGAAAATTATTTTTTAAAAAGTAGCAAAAAAAAAAAATCACTTCTTTAGGTATTTTTCTAATGGTAAAGCTTACAAGATAGCTTGTGTTTAGTTGCATGTGGATTTGGCAAGATATCGGAAGCATTCCACAGGAAACTGTCTATGCGAACATAACACTATCAAGCAGTTGTTTTGGATTTGGCAAGATATCGGAAGCATTCCACAGGAAACTGTCTATGCGAACATAACACTATCAAGCAGTTGTTTTACATTATTACTTGCAGGTTGTGAACTGTTCTTTCCATTTCATCCTGTAGGTGTTCAGTTAAGTTGACGTTTGGAATTTGGGCAGGGTATTGAATTAAACAGAATTTTATGTTATGTTATGAATTATTTTATGACAGTACTTGCATGACATGTCACATTATCCTGAATGAGTCTATAGCTGAGAGAAGTACGTGAACAGTAAGAATATGTTTATGCTTCAAATGTTTGTGATATGGAGACCTAATGAATGTAAACAAACATTCCCCCCACACCATTATACTATCATTACTAGTCTACATTATTGACATCATGCCAGATGGATCTATAGTCTCGTGCTGCTTACACCAAATTCTGACATTGTCATCAACAATATGAGAGATTGGTACTCGCTGGACCAGATGATATAGATCCGATGCTGATAACTGAATGCTGATTGAAGTCTTTTTGGCTGACAGTATTTAATTGTCTGATATGGATAAATACTGTTTGAGACAAACTGACAAGTTGTACATTTAGAGATGTGTTTTGCATGCTACTGCTATATAGAACTGAATGACAAAGCCTTTGTATTCCCTTTTTCCATTGATCTCATCTTTATTTCTCAAGCTATTTTTGTTCAAGAACTGCTAGCAACTAGATATTTCTTATTTGTCATGCTATTCCTGTATGCCCTAGTATACACGAATAGCCCAGATCACTATATCTGAAATACTGGAGCCAGCACACCTAATACTAAAAATTACTTCATTCTCAAATTTGCTCAAGTCACGTCTTACTCATTCTTCTCTTACAATGAACTGAGTCACTAGATGTCTGTCTGTTTCTTCCATTCATACCCACATGACATATTGTCTATGAAAGCATCCTACATCTATGCTCAAAGAGGTATAACTAATAGAGTATATTATACTGAATTGTCATTCAGTATATACAGGGTGTCATGCTAAAAAGTAGCCCTGGTCTGGTTTAAGTCTCTGGCACTAATGTATTGCATGGATTGAGCAAAACCACATCAGTTGTGATGTCCTGTATTGTGCAAATCTACAGAAACCAAGGGATATAAATTGGCACAGTTTGTTTTTTGTCCGAACACAAAGTAAGAATTAAGTCGAAGCTCTAGAAGTCAATAATATTGTTTCAGAAAATCATCTGTGATGATCGCTTGCCACTACCATAGCAGCGACATTACCACTGGAATAAAAAAGAATTAAAAATTTGTGCACGCTCGTACTAGCAACCTTGAACATTGTCATTTTGACCCACTATATCTCAAAAACAAAATCATAAACCTTTGACTTTTATTACATATTTAATTTCCTCATTTTGTAATATGTAAAAAGATAAAGTTTAATAAAAATTGACCGACTAAACTTTGAGAACAAGCTCAGTTCTATAAGCAACATAGAAGAGGCTTCACTAATGTTCTGCCTCAAGCAAACTATTGTTTAACCAAGAAAAAATATTGATTCTTATTGCTCTATAAAGTAATAATTTTGTATAATTTGTGTTCATTCATTCATTTTTTGCTAGTTAATGAATTAATTCTTAGCATTAACTTGCGTTTTTTGTAAAAATGTATGCAGTTTTGTATATCGTGTTTAAATAGGACCAATAACTTTGTTTTAAACGTGTCATTATTCAACAATATATTTAAATTTTAATACAATTTTATGCTTTTTAACAACTTCAGAAAGTTTATTCAAAACAATAACATATGAGTTATACTTATTATTCAATAATAATAATAATATTTTTTTTTAATTTTTAGGCACTTGTACATGTATCTAATCTACTCGCCAAAGGTGATATCGATGCTCTAAAAGGACTAATTACTAGTGAGGTAATTATTAATCGTTAATTTTATTATTATTATTATTTCATTGATTAATTGATGTACAGATGTGAATCAAGTAAGAATTCGTTAAATTATTGTACAGTCGACCCCACTATAATTACAGTCCCTATAATTACGATTCCTATAAAACTACGAAAAAATATACGTATTTTGGAAATGTTGAGTCGGATTAGTGTAGAATCGATTAATTTTATGGAAGAAAACCTTTCAATCAGCCGTAGTCCATAAACTTGACACATGTTGGGCTGTGATTGGAACGACTTGTAAGAAATCGGATTCCTAATAAATTGGAACGTATCTATATCTTATAGGGGGGTCGACTGTATTATCAATGACACGAAAATAAATAAATTGCTTTATTTTTGTTTCAAAAAACCACTTACAATGATAGAACAGTAGACATTTATATCTGTATACTTACAATGATATAAAATATTTCAGTCAACCATTTATTATTTTTATCAAATGTCTAAGAAGAAAAAAAGCATCTGTCAAATGATACCAGTAGATTTTAACAAATTAACTTTTAGGTATACAATATAAAGAACACTTGAAATTTTGGAAGATTTAACTTGCGGCAAACTACCCAAAACTCTGCCAGTTGAGTAATATAATCGTCGTTTATCAAAATTCTTGGCAGCCGCTATGTCACGTTAGCTTGGCCAACAGAATTTTGGACCGCTTTCCCAAATAACAATTTGATTCCATCATCCGGTAGTTGCTTTTTCTGTCTTTAAAATTTGATGGTGACGATAATAGTTATATCCAATTAATGATCATCTTCCTTTATTTTTAATGTTTCAACCTATCCAAAATGGTGTATACATGAAGAAAATGGTTTTATTTATAACTGAAATCATGTTTTGGATCATAACTATTGAAAAGTTAAATTAATTGGATATTTTTAAAATAAATTCTGTATTTATGGTATTTTATCCTATTTACTTTGGTAAAATAGTAAACTAAGATTGTTCTGTACTAAATTTTAATACAGTATATTAAAAGCACTATGAAATTAGAAACATCTAATCCAGATATCATATGCTTCAATCCATGTGGATTATCACATATTCGCTGTCATGATGCAATGGTTATACTGTAATTTTTACATATTTTGGCAATGATGATGTGTGTTAAGTTATATAAAATACAGGGTGTTCGAAGAATTACTGTTTAGTGAGAAATTTGTAATGACATTAAAGTTATATGTACGGCACCGCATACAAGATCTGTACGTTCTGGGTTTCCACTTTGTGGTAGATAGCATTACTGCTTGCTCACAGATGTACCAGGTTTTGGAAGACTTATTTGACAATCATGTGGAATCTGGCCCACTAGGACTCCAAGCCAGGATTTTAGGCCTCTACGGGATATAAGCTCTTTTCTACAGTTAGTTATTTATTCTTGTAAATATTCTTGTTTTTTTTTTTTTTTGTATGGATTAATGCTTCCTGTATAGCCCAAGCTGACTAATTGTACAGACTTATCACACCTTGTAAGTTAAGCAATGAGATGTATTCAGAGATCCAGTGTGATTTATTAGTATTGGAAATGCATTTCAGACTGATGAGAGACTGTTATTACACATTACAGAGTTTAAAAAATAAAGCAAAAAGGTCATCTTTAGTTTCAATTTTGTTCATTATTATTTTGAATTAAATTGAATTCAATTACACTAACATTAACTAATAAGTATTGTATTGGGTTGGCCAATAAGTTTGTGTAGTTTTTGCCGATAGATAAAGTTAGATGCTCTGAAAAGCAATTATTAGATGCTCTGAAAAGCAATTATTATTAGATGCTCTGAATTAGCAATTATTAGTAGTATTAATCTTGAAAACACGTGTTTGACAAGCAACATTTTGCCGACACTTGTCAAAAATAAAGCTTGACGGTTAGTTTCATTTTGTGTGTTTGTCAGTATTTGAAGGATGAGTGAACAAAACATACATTATCGACACACTGTGATTTTTTTTTTTTATTTTAAAAAAAGGCAAAAATGCAGTGCAAACTTGCAAAAAAAAATATGAGAGATGTATAGTAAGGATACTGTGAAAGAAAGTGTGTGCCAGAAGTGATTTGCAAGATTTTATTTCAGAGATTTTTCCATTCAAGATGCATCATGATCAGGTCAGCCAATTGAGTAAACAGCGATTAAATAAAAGAATTAAGTCAACAATAATCCGTGCCATATGACGCAAGAGATTGCAGATATTCTTCAAATATTGAAATTGAGCTTGGTAAATCATCTGCTTCAACTTGGATACGTCAAGTTGAATGTTTGGGTTCCACACAAACATAGTGAAGCCAATTGTATCACTTATATTTCCATCTGCATTTCTTCAAAAAATGTGAGGAAAGTGACTGAAGCAAATAGTAACAGGGATGAAAAGTGGATTGTTTACATCAACATCAATCGCAAAAGATCGTGGGAGAAGCACACCAAACCATTGCAAATCACTTCAGAAGCTGGACTTCATCTAAGCAATCTATTTGGTGGAATTGGAAGGGTGTTTTGTTTTACAAACTGCTTCTGAAAAACAAAATGATCAATTCTGACGTATACTGTTACCAACTGGACAAATTAAATGCAACGATTCAGAAGAAGCATTCATAACTGGTGAATTTAAAGGATTTCATCTTCCACCATGTTAACGCCTGGCCACATACATCATTGCAAACCCAGCAAAAATTGTTGGAGCTTGGCTGGGATGTTGTACAGTACTTCATCCTCCATATTCACCTGACCTTGCTCCTTCTGATTATCATTTATTTTGCTTCCTTCAAAATTCTTTAAATCTTTGCACTTCATTTTTGATGATGACATAAAACAACACTTGGAACAGTTTTTTGCCAAAAAAAAACTGGAAGTTTTTTAAAAGAGGTATTATGAAGCTTCCCAAAAGAGGGCAAAAACTACTCAATATAAACAGTGAATATTATTGAATAAAATTTTTATTTTTCATAAAAAAAAATGTTTTTTATTTTTCACCTTAAACAAACACATGGACTTATTGGCCAATCCAATAATTATTAGTTAATATTAGTATGAGATAGCAGTATAAACTCCTGCCTTTAGAAAAATTATCTTATAATAGTTAGCCAAACTATAGTTCTGAATAATCCAGAAATTAATATGATTATTATAGAATATTTGGGCTTGGTTGTTTATGTATACGTACAATGATTTGTTAATAGAAATGAAACAGAAAAAACAATATTTTAACTCTTGCAATGACGACTTCTAAACTGTGCACTGGTAATTATCTTGCTTTTGACAGCTGTCCTGAAGATACATGTATACGGCAGGATGGGTTATACAAAGATCTTATTTTTATTCTTGCAATTTTCTGCGGGTTATCTGCATGAAATTACATTATATAGAAAAACTGAAATTTAAATTTATTTTATTTAAATAGAAACAGTATAAATAATTAACATAGAGAATCATAGAAATTCTCTCTTATATGAATCTACATGTTCTCCTAATATGAAACTCTCTTTTTTTTTCAAGCATATAAATAGATTACATGAATTTAAATGAATTTTGTAAAATAAATTTACAAAATTCAGACTATATGATAAACTCTAATACAGTAGAACCTCGAAAACTCGGCCTAATATGGACCGAAGGGTGGCCGAGTTTGTGAAAATGCCGGGTTATCGGGAATGGGGTTAAAAAAATAAGTACGAGTGTTTCCTCAGAAAATACTGTACTGTGCTTGTATGTATTGTTTACTTGAGAATATAACAGAGAAGAAACTGCCCAAATATCCTTAAACAAAGGAAAAGTACGTTCTTTATGAAGGCATAGAGCCTTTACTACATGAAAATGAAAATTAATGAATACACTGTGTACAGTAATTTACCTGATAAGACAGACCCCAGAAAAATACTTTATGAGAGATTTATACTTTTATAAAGCTGTCTATAATGAAAATTAATTAACTAAGGATGTTTTTGCTTTGCCAGGGTGTGGCCGAGTTATCCGGAGTGCCGGGTTATCGAGAGCCGAGTTTTCGAGGTTCTACTGTATATAAACTGTGTATGCGCTGAAATATTGAGAGATTCAGTTTAATTGTGAACCGTGTTCTTTGGAGTATGCCAATGGTCCAATCCAATGGTTCCGAAACTATGAACCCAAGACCAAATCTTGCCTGTGGTCTTGTTAATTCATCCACAAAAGTATTTCACATATCACTTATAAATGATAGAAATGATCCTACTGTTTATATATATATATAATAGCATGATAGCATGAATGATTACAACATAATATACATCATTTATGTTCCAGGCACTTTCTGAAATACAAAGAAGTTACACCATTATGAATTTAAAACAGCGACAAGACTTACAAATAAAACTGGAAGAAATCTTCTTCAGTTTTATCTATCAGATTGGTATTATTATGGAAGACGGTGAGAAATTTGAATCCTTATATATAAAATTTTGCAATTTTCATAGAGAAATGTTAACCACTATTTGAAACTTTAATAGATTCAAAGAAACGTTATGTCGAAATCACTGTTGTCTGTCACTGTATACACGGAATAGAAGATTATCAAGACGATGTTACTCTAAGCGGAATAAAGTCCAACTTAACACAGAATATCGAAAAAGTTACGGTTTGTAATTACAGGTAAGTTTTAGATAAAATTATAATGTCGTAAATAGTAATTACAGACAATTTGGGCGGGTAACAAATTATAGAATTCTCTAGAATCAAAAAAATCGTTTGCAGATTTATTCGAGAATTCACCAAAGGAGTCGAGGACAGCTGGATAATCAACAAGTTAAATCACTTCAAACTTAAACAGCTATAAACATTTAGATAAGTTCACTATGGAGATTAAAACGAACTTGTACATAAGATATTAAAAGTAATGAATTGATGCTTGTGCAAATTATTATTTTAAACGTGTGTTTTCTTCGACTCTAAACTACACAATTTAGAAATTATAAAGTTAATGTATTGAATATGATAGGACATAGTGTTTAAATTTATTTTGGAAATGTTATAAAAATTTTTCAATAAAATGAAATTTTTCAATAAAAAAGTAGAATGAGATGCTCTTAAATTATTACACAATTTTCAGTTAATTTGTTAAAGATATATAATTTATACTTTAGTCTTGCTGCTGCATTAAAAACTTCATATGTGAGACCTGTAAAGGAGTGATTTTATTTTTATTTCTACAAATAATAATATCCAATTGAAACTTCAATGAATTAGCACGTGTTTAAAAATTATCTACAGATACTCCTCAATTAATTCAATAGATACATTCCTCGAAGTCATGGCTCGGGCATGGATCAGGCTCAAGAAAATTTTTTATAATAAAGGGCCATAGGACACTGTTTGATGTGAAATCAGGCTGCTATAAACAGAATTTTATGTAAATTCTATATTTGTGAAGGAAGTGCGAATACTACGGATAACTAATCTTCAGGTTTTATAACTTATAGCATTATGATATTTGTTCATTTGCTTATTGTAAATTACTTATGATTTAAATACATTTAAGGCTCTCGATAGTATGCAAATCATAGAAAAAGTTATGTAGGAACTCTGTCAGCCATGTCTGGAATAAATCAAACTCTCTATGCAAAGCTTAATAGTTGCTCCGGAACCATTTCGTGCTGAAAAAATGGCTAGTGCTATGAAAATTGTTCGTAATTAATAAACTGTTTCTCTTCTTATATAAACAGTATTACACAGTGTTTGTGTAAGAAGAGAAATGATATAAAGAACATGGTTCTGAAAGTATGTTAGCCAAGGATTACTTATATGTATATAATTATTTATATTTTAATTATCCAAATAAAATAGAAGCATGGAATAATTAAAATTCAAGATTTAATTAATAAAATCTATGGCAATTAAATTTCTGAAAACATTCTCTCGAATCACTTCTGTAGACACTGCCAACTTTTGACGTTTTATTCATAATTTGTACTTTTATTGCTGTCTTATTCATAATTTGTACCTTTATCACCATCTCATACATAATTTTTTTTTATTAATAAATTAAATTTTATTTTTTAATAATTCATTTTGTACAGTTTGAAGATACGGCCATAATTGAAATCGGTTTTTTCTTCCTATTGTCCAATTTTCTTGTGATAATTAACTGAGAATTGCTCATTATTTGTTCTTTTCGGTTGTGCTCACACTCAGCTTAAACTTAAACTAAATTACTAAACAGTGAAGGAAAACTTTAATCCTTAAATATTTTTAGCTAAATATTTATTTAATGGATCAAACTGCAATTCTAAGCAATTTGCACAGTTTGATCCCACAGATAAATATTTAACTAAAGTCAACTCTGTGCCGTTCTCGAATGTTTTTCTGGAGTTTCCGCTATCTTTGTAGAGTTAAGACAAATACAAAACTTTGTATCAGTCTTTTGGCAATAGAGGAAATTCTGATAATATTTAAGGAGTAAAGTTTCTCTTATTTGTATAAGCATTTTAATTTTTTATAATTTCTAAATAATAATTTTAATAATTGCTTTCTGTTTGATTATTATTTTATTATGATATATATATTTTTTAATCTTAGTTATTTTAGATATTATTTTAATTACTTTTTATCACTCACTGATTCCCAAAATTAGGGGTAAATAATCATTTTACTTGTTTTAATTAATCTTTATTAAATACGAGGTCTTCCATTTTAAATTATTGTAATTGCATTATCATCTGAGAAATATGCAATATACATCAATCAATAGAGTAACTGTCCAAATTTCTTCTCCCATCTGGTTACAAATGTCTTATCATCCACTATCTCTAGGAAACACTGTAAACAAAAATGGCAACTCCACAACAGAGAAGGCATTTTGGAGTGGTAGAATTGTGGGATAAGTGACAACAGGTGTGCCGTAGCAAGTGTAGAAAGAATTTGTGTATTGACATGAGGCACATGCATTGAGAAAGTGTAATTGGCAAATGTGAAACTTGGACAGTTTTCCAATGTTTTAATGTGTGTTGCAATGTTCTTGGATAATAATTAACACAATTACAATAATTTAAAATGGTAGCATTCTTTTTGGAAGATCCTGTATATTGTGTACAGCTCATATTTATTTCAATTTTCAATACTAGAGGAGTTTTGGAGGTTTTTTTTAGAAGTTTGGTGATGTTTTTGTGAACAGAAATATCCCATAGTTAACTCTTGTTTGTCAACTAGCCTATCATAAAATTGGTTTTGTCATGTATGATTTCACTTAACATTGCAGTTTTCAAGAATCTATTGACAAAGTAAGGGCTTGCCATAATCGAATGCAGTCATTAGTCTGTATATAAATACTAAATACCGTTCATACTTGTTAGTACTTATTAATGTAATACACGTGAATACAATCACGAGATATCACCATATCCGCACAGAACTCTAAAGCTGGCTACACATATACCAGTATACCTAAACGTGTAAAAAACTGAGTTCTCTCATCCAACCGTTCAGGTATACTGGTACATGTTTAGCCAGCTTAACGTTATAATAATGATTTAAATACTAAAGATGATTTATGAATGAACCAATGAGAACAAACTAATGATTAATTTGTGAGAATTTATTATAAATTCTCTCTCTCTCTTTCTGCACACTTATTCCTGGTTAGCTCACTTATGACAATACCTGGATATACCTTGCCACCGTAATGCTTAACTAGTTCAGATATATTTAAAGGTTTAAATATGATGGCTGTGATTTTTCTACTCTTATGTGAGATTGTAAAGATATAGTAGACATTTCGGGGCATGCAGAAGATATTTCTGTAAAAAATTTGTGGCAAAACATACCACTGTGATACTTGATGCCAGCAATGAACAATTTCATTTGTGGGGGCACTTGAAAAGTGTGGTTTATCAAGGACTTTTTGCAGATTTGACAGTTTCAAAAAACAATATCAAACTGTATGCAAGAAACATTACAGAAGATCGATTACAGACAGTTGTCAAACACGTTATTCATTGCCTTTAGACTTTACATTTTCAGAATGGGAACTGTAAAGCACCGAGCAATGACTGCTAAGATCTCTGTGGCATATCTCGTACAAGTGAAATGTGTTTTTGCTTGCAGCATTGAAGTTCTGTAATGACAAGTTTTAATATTAATTTTTTTTTATGAAAATGTTCATTTGCATGTCTTGAAATGCCACCATATCAAATTTGATTGAGTTTGGACCACTAAGTAACTTTCTAAACAGTGTTGAATAGATGGTACTTTAATTACAATCACATGTTACTTGGCATTAAAAACATAATCTGGATCACAATTGTTCAGTATGCGAGAGTTTCGGGTTAAATTACCACTCCTTTCTTCCAGAATTTTTCTAAATTATTTAATTAAATTCTACATTTTTAAAAGATGGCAACACAACCACTTACTTTTAGGCTAAATTTCAATATTAATTAAAGAAAATTTGAGTACATATAAATGATATAATCTAAATGCAGTTCCAAGTATATTTGAATCTAGAAAATTCTTTTAGACTGTTTAAATGGTACTCTTTAATTTTCCTATTGGAACTTTTACTTAATGTAAAAGTTCAAATGGACTGCCAAATGTTTTATCAGGCTTTAACAAAGCTAATTTTATCAATTAGAAATAAATTAATAAGTAAATAAAGTATGTAATAGAGTGAGGTCGTAGGTGACCTTGAAAATCATTTTCAAAGTCGTCAACAAAGATTCTATCTGATTCTCCATGCACCACTTTATGTAAAAATATTAACAAAGTTGAAATATCTTCAGTGCTTTTGGATGAAAGGGGTGTAAGGGACTTTTGATTCATCCTGTGTATACATACATACACACACACGAGGGTGGCCAAATCTTGTCATATTAGGAGCCATATATCACATATCAGAATACATGAGCCACATTCTATATTCGAATGGTATTTTATTAATTCCTACATACTGTATAGACAGAATAGACGAATAGCACTAAAGTCAGACCTCTAACCCTAAGTAATATGGGGTAGGGGGTCCAATGTATGGGAGCTGCAATAAAGGTCTAGAAGAACCACAGTTTGGCCACTGTTAATGTATGAATTTTACAAAGGTTGCCATCGTTGTTAGTTAATGTTTTAACTTACTGGCTGCATCATAACCAAAAGGACCTGTTGTCTGTACCTAATGTAAGCATACATGGTGATCAGTTTTGACTAACACTCAGATATTTTTGTAGAATTGCTATATTCCTTTGTTTTTTCTTATATGTTAATAAGCAATCTTTCAGAAAAATAAATCCAGTGGTCTTAAATAAAAGAAAATATGTATCATTTCTTAGTACAAAGTCGTACATTCCAACATAGAAATATCTTGTGAAAATTGATATTTAATCACTATACTGTTCATATAAAGTATCATACATTTTATAGGAGTTTAATAAAATAACATTTAAAATTTTTCAGAAAGTTTCTGAAAGCTGAAAAATATGCATTACTGACAGAAGACTTTTCTTATAAACTTGTCCCAGAACCTGGAGTTCTTAATTCTTCTTTAGCTAAACCTCCATCAAACTGTCTTCATAACTAGAGTTATTTTAGTGTAAGTAGAAAAATGCTTTCATATAAAACAGTAATTTATTAAATTTTATAGTGAAAGATGTTCATATTTTCTTCATCATCATCTAAAATTATTCAGTGTGCAGGATAGTCTCTCCATTGCTTCCTCTTCTCTGTCTTATCAGTTGTTTTCTAAGCTTCCTTTTGAGATCATCCCATTGTCATCTTCTCGGTCTTTCTCTCTCCATCTTTCATTCTCAGCATTCATTGCGTCACTCACTTTGTCCAGCCAGCTGTTATTCTTCATTCTGACTCATCCTGTCGGTCTCCATTTATTTCCTCTTATTTTCTTCATGCCATCTTTTACTCTTGTCTTTTCTCTATTTACTCATTTATTTTTTCCAGCTCTTATTGTAATTTCCAGCATTGACCTTTCCATTTTCCATTGTTCTATTGCTTTTTACTGTAGAAAAATACCGTAGAAATTATACCAATGCCAGAGGAATGTCTTAGCAGTTTTACATATTTAGATGGAGAAGAGCTTATACAGAAGGTCTGTTCCACTACATGTGATCTTGCGTTCCAATTATTGATTTCTTTAGTAATATCTATATATAATTTGCAGTAGAACGTAAACTTTTTTATCATTAAATTAGTTTTTGTGATACGAAGACATGTGAATCTGTTTATCTTGGTATGCATTACATCTGCTGCTGACTGGAAATTTCAGGCACAGATGACCTAGTCTTTTGCCTAGGACCTTGCACCTTTTAGGAGCCTCAGATATGCACATATAAACACTTGTTGATAGTCTTGTTCCAGTATTCGGGATCCAATACAATCTAAGACCTTAGACCTTGTAAAATATCAAGTATTGTGTGATGCATACAATTCTTCTATTATATAAACTTAAGATAAAAAAAAATGAACTAAATGACAAAAATCTGCCCTGCTTTACCTTATTCCTCTGTTAATTTTATTTTTCTCGATAAAATCATTGAAGTGTTCTAAGTAATTGTTCCATTTTGTAGCAAAATTCTTATTTAGTAGAGTAGTGTAGATATAATATGGCATAAAAGACAATAATTTCTGTACAGGAAAAAATATTAAAGTCCTCAATTTTTATTATTTCCAATTTTATCGAGTTTTGTATCCTTATCTAATGTGAATTACCATTGATATTTTTATCAATTAATGATACAAACTACAAAAACTTTGAAAAATCCTATAAAACAAACAAAAATATTTGGAAATATCTGTTAATATCTTCAACAAAGTATAGATAAAATAGAATTTAATGATTTAAATGTTATACGAGGTGGCCCAAAAGTCAGTTAACAAAAATATTATAAAATTGATTTTATTTGATCAAGATATATTCTTATTTGTTTGCAGTGTTTGCTGTTAAACTATAACATACCAAAAATAAATCTTTCATACGTTTATAATGCACTGGATATGTAAGTAGACTCTCGTCATACAACTACTCAATTTATTATTCCCCATATTTATTGTGAATTGCCACATTTTTTGTGTTCACTGTCCCTGTTTACTTTTATGTAGTTCAAACTGTGTCTAACAGAAATCCAAATTTAATTTATGATGGTTTGCTTAACAATAATTTTCCAGGAACAAATTAGATCATAATTGCACGGGTCTTTAAATGATTTTTTAACGAATCAGTTTTCTAATCAGCACAGCAAGTACCTGCGATTGTACCTACATTTGGTCAAAGGTCAGATAAGCATAGGAGTAAAGAATGTGTTACACATTCCTAAAAATTTTTGATCTATGGTCGAATATCATCTCTTGCTATCTAGTATGGTCCTGCACTAAAAAAAGGGACTCTACATTTGATTTCACTTGCAGTGCAGCAAACTCTTAAAGGTTTGCATCGTATTTGTTATATTTCTTTGTTGTTTTCTTTATTTACAAGACCTAGTTTTTACCATCAGTACGACGTAATAATCAGACTTTGCGTGGTCAATAACCCATAAAATATTGTCTCGTAAATATTATTCATTATATAGACGACAAACATTTTTATCCACGTAGTCTAACGACTGCTAATCGATTGGATAAATACCGATTCAAGGATTTTTAAATAATAATAATAATAATGCATTTATAGAACGTCGGTAAGGATATTTAAATATTTAGTACCATATAAAAAATATAAATTAATTGCCTATAAATCATTTATTTCTAGGTTTTTAATTCTTGTTTTTGAATGTAGATATTAATTAAGGATTAGATTTGAAGTTGTTGTTCGTGATTTGATTGGATGTCCACGGGGAACAAAAGAAGACTAGATGTATTATTCTTTTTGAGTGGAGGAAGTTGTTGTTGTTGTTGTTCAGTTATTGCTATTAAATTATCAGAATATGAATGAAAATCTTTTGACATCTTGCGTTATTTTATTTGTTTTAAAATATACTTAAATTATTAGGTAAAAATGCTAAATTTAGGAGCCAAAACAAAAATAAATTACTTATAATTCTGTCTTATAAAAGTCAAACACTTCATTTACTGTCGTAACATTTTCAGAGATTTGTATTATTATTATTATCTTTTATCATTTTAGATCAAAATCGTTTTGTTAGATGTATAGAAAGGTGATATTTTTCGTAATTACATCCAAAGATTTAACTGTAAAAACTTACTGAATTAGCTGCATTCCCATAGATACAGTGGTTAATTTCATTTTAGTTCTAGTAGTAGTAATTACTAGATGCATGCCTCTCTGAGACATACACAGATTTGAATCTAAATCAGAATTTAAGATATTTTAGATTGTCATCCAGTCTGCTCTTTACTCTCTGACAGTCCTCCTGTGGATCTGGCCAAGCCTATGACTGATACAGATAATAAAAGTCGTTCCTAATGCTCGTGGGGTAGAAACAGTCTTAAAATTAAGTATATGTTGACATGTTTATTTCTGAAATTTTATTTATATGTATTAACTTTGTAATTTCAAAGTAAAAAGTTTAAATAAGATGATATTTCTTACAATAGTAAAAATATTATCATTCCTTCTTGGTCTTATAAGTGTGAAAACAAGTTAAGAGGAATGGAAACTCTTCAATAAAAGAATTAAAACATGAGTTCTTGTTCTAGAATCATAATATACTTCTTGTTGCCACAGGTGACGATAAAATGCGGTTGGAAAAATATTTTTCTGACAGGCATCATGGCAAAAAACTGAATTTTTCATTGATATAAATATATTTAATTCTTTGCTCTGCATGCTCTAAAAGGCTTATTTCTCTATGATGATTTTCGCTGGCTTGCGACAGGAGCAAAATGGGCGGCAAGAGATGGGCTTAACACTATATATCCGGGACGATGTGCCAATAAAAATCTCTGAGCCAACCAAGAGTCCTCAGATTAGAAGGCCGATGCCTCTACTACCTCAGTCACTCTACTAATATAATTAGCTAGTAACGATACTACATCACAAGTGACCTGCTTATGATGTAGTAATGTTACTCAAAGATGAGGAACAACAACCAGAATACAGACCCAGACCAGCTCAATTGGTTAGGCAATGAAATGACTGCCACAAATGACACAATGAGTGGTCAGAAATGTTCAACAGGAGAGAAAATGAATAAAAAATAAACTAAATAGAGTGAAGTCCCTTAAACTTACTGTACTGTACTTTAAAGCTATTTATGAATGACTCATACAAACAAGAGTGCCGGTACTCTATTGCAACGGTTTGAAAAGAAGGGGATGGCAAAAATCAGTTTTACTTCAGGCGCAAGTTACTATCAAGCCGGCACTACCTGGAAATGTAAGGCCCAATTTGTCCGCTAGTTAGAAACAGGTAGTCGCTCGCAAGTCGGCCACATGATTCCAGGTTTCTTCATTCGCCGGTCACCCATTATGTTCCTGGCAAAATCTATTAAAGGGCTTGAAAAAAATGGGCCCACCAGTGGCCAAGCGGTTTTGTTCCCCGAACACTGGGAGTTCGGTCGTGGGTTTGCGCCTCACCCGGACGGGCTGGCCACGTGGAGTTTTCCGGATTTTCTCCACCTGAACAGGGGCCAGTTACTCTTAAAATTACCTCCCGGAAGGCATTCCCTCCTAGGCTGATCGCCCAAGTGTTGCTTGCCGTAACTTAACTAAACACACACGAAAACAATGTCCACTTTTATATGCTGGGCAGAAAGAATTAAGGTTCTTTTATTTTTCATTTTCAACAGATAAAACATTTTCCATACAACACAATGTTAAGGTGTAAATTTACGTATTTGTTGCGCAAATTAGGCAATTAAATATATAAAAATGTACTGCATGCTTCTGACGCTTCGAAATAGACCCGATCCTGGATTCCCCTTAAAGTAATATTACGGACGAATTTTGAAAGAAGCTTCTTTTCTTTAAGATATATTTAAATTAATACTTTAAACTAAAAACAATAATTAAAAATTTTAAATTAATTATCCTTAGCGATCGTTATTATTTAAAAAAAAAGAGAGAGAGAACATGCACGCGAGAAAGAAGATCTTTCTCGCGTGCATGTAACCTTCGATCCGATTGGTTAATTTTTTTAAAAAATATGAAAATATGACGTAATTTTTTCCGAAAAAATTTCTTTAGATATATTATTGCACTTGAAGTGTTTTTGTAATTTTATCAACAAATATTCCTTATTCGACAGCTATTAAAACCATATTTTTCACGAATTTTTATTGTCCCCATTTTTTTTTTTTATGACTCGTTCCCGTTACCACCGCTTGGGGCGCTTACTGAAACGTGAGATAAGAAATGTCGAAAACGTAATTAAGTTAAAAATGCGAATTAAAAAAAAAATACATCAAATTAATTGTAATTAAAATTTATTCGCGAATTTAATTTATCTTCATTGAAGTAAATTAAATTTACGCGCGTATACAATTAAAAACGGAGTTACTTTACGACCGCTACGTCATCTGTTTAAGTTAACAAATTTCGGCCGTTCCGAGCCGTTTTTGGCCCCTAAATTTTCATTAAAAATTGATTTATGAGCATTTCTAAAAATTAAAATAAATAAAATTCGTTAAATTCTCCCCCCCCCCTTTCCGACTTAAAGCGCGCACTTTCGTGGATGATTTTGCGGAGTTATTTATGCAATTAGACTGAAAAAATAAAGAATAAACAACGAATAGAATGTGGAATAATACATTTCCCTTTGTTTATAACCGAAGACGTTTAAGAAAAACAAGAATTATTCTCATTACTATGCGCATAATATGCCGAACCGGTATATTTACAGCACTGTAAATCTTATCCTTGACTCCCTTTTTTTACTCTCTCTCTATCTGACGTATTCTCCGGCTCGAAAGAAATAAAATAAAGTAAAATATTGCTTAAACTGAACGAATAAACTGTAAAAAAAAGTCTTATCTCTTGGTATCAAGCTGAGAAACACCTGCATGAGTCGTGTAATTAATTAGCAATAGCAATATTGTTACCAGTGAAAAGAGCTTGTAAAAATAAAATATATATATATATATACACATACACTTTGGCTGAATGCCAGTTTACAGTTGTAACTGTATTTAGAAGCTAATCACACATCTAAGAATTATCTGCAGTTTTGCCTTATCTAACAGAAACAAGGTCAACACTTATACAGGATACAGGGAGACAGTAGTAAGTTTGAACAAATGGATCACAATCTTCTGCCTTTGTATATTGTTGATGCATTCACTAAAAAAGCATTTGCTGGAAATCCTGCAGCTGTCTGCCTAATTTCCAGGAAACATGTAAGTAAGATGCTAACCAGAATTGTAATTTATTATTAATTATTTAATTTTTTTTTTTTTTTTAAGAAATCTTTATTTCAATTTAAAATGATTGTTTCAGGAGCTGCCAGATGAAATTTTGCAGAAAATAGCGGCCGAAATGAACTTATCGGAAACTGCCTTCGTCATAACTTCCGGCGACGAAGACGGCTTTGCTAAAGGTAACGAGTTTATGTCTATGTGAATATGTTACAAAGCTTAAATGCACACATTAATACAGAATATTTTTATTATGAAATTGGGCGAACAGAATCAAAGTTTCGTTTGCGCTGGTTTACTCCCAAAGTAGAAGTTTGGTTGTGCGGTCACGCTACATTGGCTTCTGCATCCACACTCTTCAACTGTTTAGGTAACACTTCTCCTACCTTAGAATTCGAGACTCTAGCTGGAAGAGTCTATGCTTCTAGAAGCCATAACGGATTAATAACGTTGGACTTTCCTCGAAACGATCCTCGTAAATTGGTAAAAATGATCATTAATATAGAATTAGATTTAAAGCGAAATGATAGTTTATAACTTAACTCTTTATATGTTGCTAAGTTACAATAAGGCAAATCATTTATGACTTTGGTTTGTCCCAAGCTATTGAAAATCAATCGATAGATAGTGACAAACCTACCAAAATTGAAATTGTTTTATTTTACTGTTTGTGTAAGAAAATTTATACGAATTATTAACATTATATTTTCCCGTAGAGTGAAGAGGAAATGCAGATGTTACAGCCTTTGGTTAATGTGAGTGATTTCAACACAATTGATTTGATCATTATAATGCTATAATGCATTTTATATTAAGATTATCATTATTCTTTAGCTTATAGTAGGACAATTGGAGTATGAGGAAGTGCTGGTTTCATCGGTTGCAGGAAAATTAATGATTCGTTTGCGTGATAATTTGTCAAGGTAAATGCTTATCAATACAAATTATTCTGATGTTAAATTTAATAGTTTTATTTATACATTTTTGTATTTTTTAACAGGAAGGATTTAGAATCTATCAAGTTTTCCTCGCAAACCATATTGGAAATAGATAATCCTCTTAGTATCCGAGGGGCAATAGTTACATTAAAAGGAAATTCAAACAACGGTTGCATTAACGATGACGGTATACAGTATGATTTTATCTCACGTTATTTTGGTCCTTGGGTTGGTATATTAGAAGATCCCGTAACAGGTAACAAAATATAACACTTTTGTAACTTTAAAACACATTTAAATTACTCGGAAACTAACAAGTCCTCCACCAACCGTACGACAGGTTCGGCACACACCATATCGGCTCCTTACTGGTCTCGTATACTGTCCAAAAACAAATTATTTGGTAAGCAATTAACTCTTACATTTAGCATGTTCTAAATTTACATGTTTAACATCATTGAAAATTTTAGCTTTTCAGTCTTCTCCACGAGGAGGAGAGCTCCAATTGACTGTAAAAGACCAAAGAGTAGAGATAAGCGGAGATTCTGTAGTCATTGTGAAAGGACAATTGGATATTTCAAGAAAATAGAAATGATATTATTTCTAACTACAGAATTATTATGTTTCCATACAAGAAAAAACTGTAAATTGTATGACTCAAAATTATAAAATCAACGTTTTAGAAGCCAAATTATAGACAATTTATTGCATTAATCAGTATGTTACATAAGATATGATACTGCTGAACTCCTAATCATCATTTACTTAAACTTTAGATAATTATAAATAAAAAATGATATGCATCTGATGATATATTTTTGAGTACCAAGTCTACAATTTCACCCCACAAATTTCTTTTTAAGTTAAAAATTTATATTAAACTATAAGAAAAAATATTTTCTAATCAATAATAAATTTTATTCCTAAAGCAAGTAAATAATTATTTTTAAAAAAATGCATTAAAAATTAATATAAGCATCAAATTTTCTAAATTATTACCCGAAAATATTGATTTCTAAGCAGTTAAAATTTATTTTTTAATTAATATTTTATTTTAAAATATATATACATGAAAAATTAAATTTTAAATCAGGAAGTAATTTTAAATTTAGTAAAAATAAATTTTGTTTTTTTTTTTGAATCTTTAATAATGATAATTTAAAAGGGAAGAAAAAGAGTTGATATATGAGAGGGATGTAATCAAGAAATTTTATTTTTATGCCTTATTTAATTGACATTTTTTTTAGAGGTTTATTTTAAAAATTTACTTTTTTAATTTTAAAAGTTTATTTCGTTTTTTATTCAAATTAAAATTACGTAAACATTTTAAAAAAAAAAACAACTTATAATGGTAATTTATAAATGCGTCAAAAGATGGCAGCACGGTCGCGAACGGTTTTCAGTTCGCGTAAAAATATAAATGAGTTATTTTTATAATTATTAATTTTAATTAATTTAAATTAATTAAGCAATTAATCACGATTAGTTATTTGAATAGATTATTATTATTGTTATTTTTTCTCGTTCGCTAATAATTAATTGCGATTTTATCCCAATTATTTAATAAACTTAAACACCAGATGTCACTCAATGGCTTGGAGTTATATAAAGGGGTTATAATGATAAAAAGCACTTTTTCACTTGGCTTAATCTCGGTTGGGGTAAGGTTAATGTGTAGACTGTTGCAGTCATTGGGTAAAGTGACGATACCCTTAACGATCACCGCGGTGAGAGAAGTGAAAGGACCCTAGGGGGTAGAAGGATTCGGGATGGGCACGCCTTTCCTCTTCGCAACCCAAAAATGGGGTGTTGGGGGTACCTTTAAACCTATATAAAGCTTCACGGGATGCTGGAATGTAATTAAAATCGTTTTAAAAAGTCTCTCAACGACCTGCCCCGGAGCCACGTGCTGGTGTTTTAATATTCAGGGCACTCCCCACACGCCCAAGGTTACAACAGCAATCTATAAACTGATGGACCAGATAAAGAACAGAATTTTACAGATCCATTTTTACTTTCCTGCCTCCCGTTCTATTTTTGCGGTCCCGTAATAAGGGATAATGTCACAAGACCCCTTCGTGCCACCTCATTTAACCTCGGGCTACGTACACAACACACACACACACACGGGACCACACCCAGATGGCAGGGGTCGTCATCTAGAGCCATGCGAAGGTTACGCATGGAAAAGGAAGGAAGAAGAAGAAAAAAGACCATCCAGGAAAAAATAGTACACTTTAAAAAAATCGATTCGGGGAGGGAAATAAAATAGCATCCAGCGTCTAAAATAGCAGAATTTTTCACAAGCCAAGACGGGGGAACTCTTCGAAGTAAGCAAATGCTCCTAGTAGAAACTCGTCTCCCCTGAATGGGCCCCCAAGTAGAAGGAGAAAGTTGGGGGAAGAAGGTCTACTAGTGAAACAAAGAACATGTAGTGTCCAAGGTGACCTTGTAGCAAAAGCATCCGGACTTATCACGATCGCATTATTCCAATCATAAGCGATTATACAGAAGGAAAAGAAGGGGGGAAAAACAGCTCGCTTTTTAACGATTTTCTATCAAATTTTCCTTCATTAATCCCCCATTTCCTACCGCATAAATAGGCCAGCCCTAGGCACTACCTATGTTGCTATAAAATTTTTTTAAATAAATCAACAATTATTCGGCATAAAAAGGAAATCGAATGGTGGCTTTAATGGTTGGGAAATTCGAGAAGGATCTAGAATTTTATTTTCTAGATAGAGATTTCTAGAAGCAAAATGGTAGAGGAATACGTATACCAAAAAAAAAAAAAAAATACTGTACCATTTTTATCGAAGTACAACCAGATAGGGGAGAGTTAAATTCCAAAAACAACAGAAAAAAAATCTGTGAAGGAAACTTTCCCTCCTGACCCCCATCGACATGAGGGGCGCTTTTATTTTTAGCGGTTGAGGTCATGTGTCCTGGTTTTATGTTCCCCGAAGCAACAGGAAAATCTTTAACTTAATCCTCGTCGGTTGCTAATTGCAATCTGAATCGCCATTTTATATCCTGTAGTAGCGGGGGCACGGCCCAAAAATTCGACAATTTTGAAATTGCGCACGATACCAACGTGAAATCCGCTTGACCTCTGAACGTCGTATGTACCATGTGTTGAATTCCTCCGATAGAGAGAGTTTTCTAGGTACTTAAACAGGATCTATAGGGGGCTCGACCCTTTCGAGCGAAACTCTTGACAAAGAGAATGCCTCTTCGTCTCTGTTTTCGGCAATATTTTATCGGTTCACACCTCTACTGAAAGATAGAAGAGCGCCCTCTTAGTACAGCATAGTCGCTGGCACCCATTGAGAAACACACAACGTACACGATACCCCGGGCGTCACGCAAAAGAGAATTAATTCATAAGCAGATCGATAGTCAAATCGATTAAAAGAACCCCTCCAAAAAAGGAAAAAAAAAAAAAGATAAACGACGTTGTTTAAGTGGTCCACATGCGGTAATCTTTCCTGTTACACCCCAGGGGTTATGACGCATTAGAGGTTTTCGAGTACGTTCTCCACAACAGGTGCCACTAAGGCAATTCTCCAGATTTTCTTCTGAATGATCGGCCAACCGTTCCAGTGCGACAAAAAGATGACACGTAAACCGTCAAACCTCTCGTGTCGGCTACAAGACAAGAGGCCCTAATAAAGGAGAAACCCCCAATAAACAATGCGTCAAGGTTGAGAGGCCGAGAACGCAGGTGGAGGTGAACCTCTCCCCCGTAAAAAAAAGGGGGAAATTTCGTCCCTTAACAGCGTTTCGGACAGACATTCCGTTTTTAATTCAGAGGCGCTTGACCTCTAAGTTCGAATTTCTCCCAATAGAGGAGTTGTAAGTTGCGATCGATGAAAATTATACAGGCTAGATTCCCGGATGCTGCGTGCAGTCGTTATGACAACAGGCCCGGGACCTTCAGACGGTAGAGAAGGGGGGTAAGACGTCTGGAAAGAAGCGATCGATACATCCGGGACTATACCTGACGGAATAGCGAAGAAGTAAAATCGCAATCGATCGTATTCTGTTTTGAAGAACGTAGGTTTTCGAACCTATCCACAGGATATCACACTCACGTGCCGGAAGTGGCCAAATTCCGAAATTTTTTTCCCATCCTCTTTCCACGATTTCGTGTTTTTTTTTCTTCTATTCACGCGGTGACGTAATTAAAAAAAAAAATAAATATCCGTGACGTGTAAAAAATAGTTTTGGCGTCGCCTCGATCGTTTTGAGAATCGTATAACCAATCAGATTTTTTTTATACCGTTTACTCCCCCTGGTTTTTTTTTTCGGAAAAACGTTTCGATCGATAATATTGGTGCATTACAATAAATAAAAAATGTCTCACGGCCGCCACCGCCGCCGCGTTGTGCATAAAACACATTTGAGAGATAAAAATCGACAAATTCGCAACGTTTTTACTTAAAAATAAACGTTGAAAAGGAAAAAAAAAAGAAAAAAGTAGTAGTAGAATTTGTACAACAAATCCGCCCCGAAAACCCGTTTATCTACTTACGAATCTCGTAAATTCAGAGAGGAAATTGCTTATTATTTGTTATTATTATTAAATAAAAATGTGACACGCGGTAAAATCTAAGACTTTGCCTCATTTTTAAACAAATTTCCAGCATATTTTCGGCGTTAAAATTTTAAACAAACTGCCAATTTCCCTCATATCCACATCGAGCAACGTCCTAACAGAAAATCAATACCGAAGGTATCTGACCTTTGCATCCACCATTTATTCGCGTTTAGCTGTGTAAACTTCTCTCTCGTTTAATAAACCGGATGTGTAGGATTTAATGTGTGAAATTCTGCTATAATACAACTCCCGGATGATCGGGTTTCGGGGATTTTTTTTTCTTTTTACGGTTTTTTCCCTCCCGCTGACGATAATTTGTTCTTTTGTTTCTGAGAACGCGGCATACTTTGCTACATTGTCGAATGCCATTTTTACGTGTTTTATAGTGTCTATCTTAGCTCTAACCTCCCTCGTCTGAGAGAAATGGGCTACTTCTGCAATGCATTGTGGGAATGGAGATTGATTGGCGAGAGTTATCCACTGGAAAACGCCAATTTCTAGGAAAACATGGAAGCTTATCTAACTAAAACATTATCCCGTGATATAATTTAAATTTCGAACGGATTTCTGTTTAAATCCGTTAACGATTGTTTGTATAGAAACAATACGGAATTGTAAGCAATTCAAATTTAAAAAAAAAAAAAAGAAAAAAATTCCCTAAAATTATCCCCAACGGAATTTTTCCCCCTCATATAGGGGAAGAATTATTTTTATGTATGGGAGTTTCTTATACTGGAGATATCCGTGATTTACAATTATTATTTTAAACAATAATAATATTTAATAAATAATGTTATTTTACTTTTCCTTTGTCGTAAAGCCATTTAAAAGTAGGTAATTGTGTCTTGTGTACGCCCAGTTATGCACCTGGGCTTCTTCTTCTCCCCCACTTACCTTATTCGAAGAGGAAAAAATGCATTTTTATTTTTATCTCTTACAATATATACATCACCTCCGGGTTTATAATTTTAAAATTGATCATTCCTTTAATTCTAAGTTTAAAAAAAATGATTAAAGTCGGGGGAAAAAGAAAATTTCCCTCTCGCTTTCCAGACGAAGACGACGACGACGACAACGACGTCACCTAAAGGCGGCGACATTTTTCAATTATCATAATTAATGATAGAATTTTTGAATTTTAATGGAAAATAACGTTGTTTAAAAACGTTAATTTAATATTTTCCCGCTTAAACCGTAAATAAG